GGAGATCCTGCAGCACTGTGGGATGTTACAGCGAGACTGGGCACTTTCCAACAGATTGGACAGCTCTGGAGCTGACTGCGGGAAATCTGGGATCTCTGTTATGAAGGTCACGCTCGACAACTGCAGAGGGAACTTCTAACCCTGCATAGGATCTCCTGGGAATCAGGGACATAGGAATTACCCTGATGTAGCCCATCCACGGCACTGGTGATTTCTTCATGGAGGAGGCGGCTCAGGAGTAACCTACCAGTGGGGAACACCGAGGTCCTGGTGTTCTCACATGGGTCAGTGAGAGAGCAGAACCCGTCAGCCCGGCTGTTGTTTTAATCTTAAAAACAAGTACTGTATACAATAGGGAAGGAATTCGTTTGTTCTCATAATAATTTTATGAGAGGCTCTGTTATTCCATAGTCCTGTCATTAGCCATGGATGAAAGCCCAAGGCAAAGCCTCATCCCAAACTCAGCAGCAGATAAAGGACTTGCCGCTGATCCCGAGCTCACCCAGGTGGGAAAGCAGGTCTCAGCACAGGTTGAATTTTCATGAGGGCACCTACCAGGGGGTTTCCAGGAGCAACGTGGCTGCAGGGTTGAGATACAGGTGGTCCCCAATCCTGCATTGAAGGGTGCTGCTGATTAGAGAAAGCCCCAGAGCATGGCAGTTAATCTCCCAGGCCTTAGTCTCTCCGAGTGCAAAACTGCGGATTACAGGTCAACTGACCTGCATGGAAAAGATGATGCAGAGAGCTCCTGGAGCCGCTGCAGTAAGGGCAAGCGGGGAAGCCCTCTGCAACTGCTGAGTTAGCATCAGCCCCACCTTACTGTGCTTAGAGATACGCAGAAAAGAGTGGGGCAGACCTCACTGTAAAGCATTCATGACCTCAAAATGATCAATTTTTCTTTGTCCTTGAAAAATAAAAGCAATTTAAGAGCAATTTGCTACTGCAAGAAGGAGCATACACTGAAGTGTACGTAGCAGCAACCTTGGTCCACTTCCACTTTGGGAGTGGGAGAGCTGAATGCTTTAGCATCTCCCACCAAGAGAGATGAAGAAAAGAAGACCAAGAAAGGTGGCCTTTCCTTAAGCCCATCTGGTGTTCAGTTGTCACAAAACAGCATGCCAGAGAGAATATTTGAGAACTAAAACTGCTCATTCTGCCCCGCAGCGAAAATGAATTGCCTGCACATGCCATCGCTTTGGCTACGAATCATCTTCTCCTTCCCTGTAATGAATGCACCGTGCTTCCACCTCCTTGCACCCCAGGCCTGCTCCTTAGCGATACATCCTCCCTGAGGATGGCAGCATGCAGAAATCTGGAGCCAGAGTTAGGTGGTGGATGACCTACCTGCTCTCTGGGGCTGCATTGGTAGAGAGCAGCTAATTAGAGCCCTATTTATCCCACTGGGTTCTTACAGCTGCAGACACCATTGGCAGCTGAGCACCTGGCAAGTGAGCCAAAAGCTCATCACGGACTGCTTCCATGGCTACAGTGATGGGACTGGTACGAAATTCTCTTGGAGAGCTATTTTAGATTATTCTTTCACTGGGGAAGAGGATGGTGGTGCTTCAATGGGCCTTGTAGGTGGCTAAGTGGAGAGTGTGGGTGCCCTGTGGGCAATGAGAGGCTGGAGGGCTGCCCCAACATGCATGAAAAATTATCCAAATGTCCTTGGGTGGTGGTATTACCTCTGCTGCTCTTGCAGGAGAGACTCAGGCACTTTTGGTGTAGTTTTGTTTCCTTTATTCCTCTACTTGAAAATCATCTCATATTCTCTCAGTATCCTCTCTGGGGTCTCAGTTATGGATACCAGAAGACTTGATCCCGCTCTCGAACACAAGAGAACAAGCCTTCCTATTGATGGGAAGCCAAGCTCCCTGTGAGCCCACCTATCGGTGACTTCAAACCATCTTTCCAACTGTCGTTCCACAATAACTTTGACTAACTGTACTATTTATTGGCTCACATCACATCCTTATGGCTTCAATTTATTTTTGGAAAACTCGACCCACATTTAATTAGTTTATAGTTTGTTCCAAGTTTTGCTTATCCAGCTTTTTTTTGTCTTTTTTTTTTTTTTTTTTTTGAAGTTTGTATTTTGATGTTTAGCATTTGCCTTGGCAACATCTGGAACCCCTTTATGGAAGTGTATTGTTACTTTTACTGCTCGTGCAGCTTTATTAAATCATCTGAGTATTAATATTGAAAGTGTTCATCTGGGACTAATCAGGGCCAAGATGAGTGATGTGGCAGTTAAACTGTACCTACGAGCTAATGGTTCAAGGACACAAAGTCCTGAAGAAACTTGCAGTGGGCTTTATGCTCTTCTTTTTAGCTTCCTAGGAGAAGAAGGAGGAGGGAAAAAAAAAAGATATTCCTGCTCTGACCTTTCTTGCAGAGCAGATAACAGAATCGCAGCCTGAGCTAGTTTAGAACAACTTGTCTCCAAAGAATTTTGTCCAGTTACTGCTATATTTCTGGATCTTGTTTCCATATTTAACTCTTTCATCTGCCCTGGCTTCTCCGCTCCACACTGCAAATGACTGCCAAGTCAAGATCCCCACCACACACGCCACTACAAAAACACCGGGGCTGACATTTTGCTCTGCAACCTTGAGCAGACCCTCGATATAAATAAGTAAATAACATACCTGGTGGGTATCCATACATAAATAACAAACTCCATCACTCTTCTGCATCAGCGACACCTACAACCTGGATTTGTCCATTTGCTTCTCCTCCGCAGGGCACCCAAACATCCCCGGGGTGATGGTGCTGAGCCCATGGTCCTGCACAAGCTTGCCACGAGCGCAGCACGAGCCAGGGTGCGGATGGGTTGAGCTGAGGGACTGAAAGCACAAATATGGGGTCAACACCACCAGAGCACAGCCCTGGGTGCAACGGGGCTGAGGTCTGGGGGAGAAACCAGAATTCTCTGTTCCTGGGTAATAGCACTGATGGAGTTTGTAGAGTGCAGTGGCTATCACAGCAGATGGAGAGCCCCATGCAAATGCTGGACCTAACCTCTGATCCACCTCCAAAACTCTCATCTTCAAGAGGAGTTTTGACCAGGATCCTGCCCTTGGGAAGCAAGGGTGGCTCATGCTGGCTGCAGGGGCTTGAAACCCCTGCTGAAGTCACAATTTCAGTAGCTAACCCTTGGATGGATGCAAGGTGTTGGGTCTGTTGAGGTCACCCACAAAATCCCCAGGTGCCTCAGCAGGGCCAGAGCAGCCTCATGGACACAGGGGATGCTGAGCTAGAGGTTGTGGGCAGCATCCTCACCCTCTGCTCCTGGCTCTCTCTCCACCTTGCACAACACGATCCCTGCTGAGCCACGTTTTAAGCCCCACATGGGTCATTTAAACCAAAATTTCCTCTTTCCAACCTTCAGATGCAGCAGGCTTCTCTTCTGCAGCCAGGTTTCCCCTCTGCCATTAACCTTGGCCCTATGTACGAGGCCACAGGAGCTTGTAAACGGTTTATTTCTGTGCAGAGCCTTCCAGCAGCTCTTTTACAGCTGTCTCGTGGAGGAGGGTCTGGGCTGGCGAGGGAAGCAAAGCAGGCACGCAAGATGCTGTTGGAGCAAGCTGCACACCCCGGACTTTGGGAGCAGAGAAGCTAAAAATCCCTTTTTGCTGTTGATACAGTACATGGGTTAAAAAGGAAAGGGATGGTGGGCTTGTCCATTGGCCACAGATGTGACCACCAAGACCACAGGATGTCCTGCAGGTTGCCCACAGACCCGAGGTGCCCATGGATGAGCTCCTGTATCTGTAGGGCCTTCCTTGCAGTGACTGAGGCTTCCTGAGCCACAGTCGTGGATTTTGCAGTTTGTTTCTCATTCAAACTAACAACTGGTGATGGAAAACCCGTGGGATGGCTGTGGCAGCCCGGTGAGCCCTGACTGCCTTTCTCATAGAGGGCAGCTCGGGGAAGGGGCAGCTGAAGCATAGATGATCCAAACTTTTGAAAAATTAGCTGCTCTAGTTCACGTTCCTACCTGAACACTCTTGATTGTATTTAAGTAAAAATGTATAGATGTATATTTCTACATAAGCCACTTAGGGGCTTCTTTTTTTTAAAAAAAAAAAAAAAAAAAAAAGGCAAGAAAAAAAGACATTTAGCAGCCTTAAAACAGGAAGTGTAAATTTAGCTGGGATTTATCCCTTAACTGAGCATAGTTCATTCACCCTTTGTGTAAAAATAGAGATAATTTTATGCCCGTGAGAT